ATTGCAGCTCGATAGCTTACATAGCATTCGAATTATGACCAATTAAGTTAAACACTGCAATGTATATGTTTGGAGGGGGTGGGGGGGAAAGCTCAAGGGGTAGAAGTGGGGACTTTTGGGAAAATACACCTCTCATGAGGTTCTATTACATATAAAAAATCCAGCTTTCCACCATTTAGTTGCGATAAAAAACATTTATTTACTGGGCTATTAGCTGTATGGGCTATTAATTAACAGCTGTGTCTAAGGAACATGTCGGCCTTAGCACAGAAAACGTACTACTATAACCCAGAATGCCAACCGCATGGTAAAAAGCATTAAGCGTTTTGAGAGAGCTTTGCCTGTCAATCCGTAGGCAGCGCCACCAGCGTTGCTATGCTATTGCATGGCAACGCTGGTGGCGCTGCCTACGGATTGACAGGCAAAGCTCTCTCAAAACGCTTAATGCTTTTTACCATGCGGTTGGCATTCTGGGTTATATAGTAATACCAGAAACAAAAGAACCCTCGGCCGTTTCGAGCCGCGCAGGTTTCAATGGTACGGCCCACCTACCTGCGCGAACCACGTGACCTTTTCGTTTCTGCGCAGGTTGTTTTGTTCGTGGTATATCTAATAGTAGTACGTTTTCTGTGGCCTTAGTCACTAACAAGACTACAAGATCGCGCCACTCATCCTACACTCATCCTTCACTCATATTTGGGTTAAAATACGCACATAGTGGCGTCCCCATCTTAAAATAATTGATAATTGAATCCATTTGTTGTCTTCTACACCAAATATGTGTTTTCCAGGTTAATCTTTTGTCCATGGGGAATCCTAAATACTTAACGCTGTCCACTTCTGTCAACGCTATGTTATTCAAAGTAACTGGAGGGCAGTTTCCTTGTCTCAGCGTGAATGTAATATGTAAAGGTTTTGGTTTCATTAACTTTAGTTCACAATTTTTTTAGCCACAGTTTGAAATCATGCAATTTAACTTGAAATTGATTTGAAGGTTAATAAAAACCATTCATTTTTTAGATTTACTAACCATCGTTTTAAAGTTTGAGATGAATGATTTAACCTATTTTTATCAGCTGCATTTCGAGTATTCTGCCAAATCTGTCTTAGCCTATGTTTCTGAGCAATTCTTTTTCATTGTTGTGGCTTGCCCCTGAACTGGTAAGACAAATATAAAATAATAGTGGTTTATTTACCTTTACTTTCGTCCCAGTTCAATAAAAAGTTTTAATATCTACAACCATAGTTTCGACGCTAGTTGCGTCATGGTCACGTAGTTAGCATGTCGAGAAGATCTTGTCATAGTCGGTCGCTTGGACGTCGTCATATTTACACAAACATGGACAAGGACATAAACACACACGTACATTAGATTAAAATAAAAGATTCTCGTGGACGGAACACAGGCCTGTGGTGAACTGGTGAACAGTCAATTTTTACCATCGCGGGAGCCGGCAGGAGAACACTGAGGGCGACGGCGTCTGTGATTACATGACCCTTGATTACAACTGATGATAACAACCAGGAAAATATTTCAAGCATCTAAATTCAAAATTAGCTATGGATCTAGAAACAACGCATTCAATTTATTTAATTAGATTAACTTACTGGATCTTACAATAGAAAAGCTCAACAATAGATTCAAGTACAGTATATACAGGAAACCTACTACTACCAACCAAACTATACACACATCTTCATACCACCCTATTAGCCACAAACTAGCTGCCTATAATAGCATGATTAATATAATGATCAAGGTACCACTGTCTGCAGAAGATTACAACACTGAAATAAATATAATAAAGCACATTGCACGATCTAACGGCTATGAAACAAAAATGGTTGAGAAACTTTTGATTAAACAGTTGAAAAAACAGTCGTCTGATAAAACTGAACAACAAAATGAAATAAAACCTAAATACGTTCCCATTGAATATGGCCATAGACTCCATAATTTATTGAAGAAAGAACTCAAACCATTCAACATAATTCCAGCACCTAGAACCTCAAATAAAATTGATAGACTACTTAAACCCTCACAACAACCCATTGGCCATTGGCAATAATGAATTGGCCTCTTCACAGCATAATGATAACCAATTAGAAAAAAACTGGCGTCTACAAATTGAAATGTAATGACTGTAATAAGTTTTACATAGGACAAAAAGGCAGATCCTTTGCCAAAAGGGCTAAGGAACATAAACCAAATCCCCGAATAAATCCTCAAAAATCAAGTTATGCTCAACACATTATGGACGAAGAACATAGCACTGGAAATATTGAAAATAACATTGAGATAATTGAAGTTTGCAGCAAAGGTAAAGAGGAACTCCATATTTATAAGGCCCTAAAACAGGATAGCGATAACGTATTGAATGAAAAACTAAATTATAGTTTACACTTAATCTTTAATAAAATCATCCAAACATCTCAAGTTCGTCAGGCAAGTATATCCTCAACAGACAACCCCCACAGGACGAGTCCATGTCCAAAGAAGGTGCAAGGGTCATGTAATCACAGACGCCGTCGCCCTCAGTGTTCTCCTGCCGGCTCCCGCGACGGTACAAATTGGCTGTTCACCACAGGCCTGTGTTCCGTCCACGAGAATCTTTTATTTTAATCTAATGTACGTTTGTGTTTATGTCCGTGTCCATGTTTGTGTAAATATGGCGACGTCCAAGCGACCGACTATGACAAGATACTTCTCGACTTGCTAACTACGTGACCATGACGCAACAAGCGTCGATACCATGGTTGTAGATATTAAAACTTTTTTTGAACTGGGACGAAAGTAAAGGTAAATAAACCACTATTATTTTATATTTCCTGGTTGGTTTGTTTAATACCGAACTGTACAGAAGACAAATAAATTCCTTCCTCTCTTCTTTATCTAAATTTTGGGTTTTCTTTTTTTTCTTGATATATATATACATATATAAAACTTTGAACGAATGGTGTTTTAGCCTCTAGGGGCATCAAAATGAAAAAGTAAATCGGTCCCCAGCCTAGGTCTTACCGTGCCACCTACGATAAAAAGATTGTGGAGTCAAAAAAGAATCAAAAATTTTTTACGGAAAAACTTAAATGAAATGATTGGATTGAAAAAGAAGAATGATGTGTTTCCATTAAGAATTTCATTTCTGAGGATAGGTTTTCTGATCAGACAAGGATTGAACAAGTTTGCAATATATATATAGTTTAACGAATATTATGTAAATTTAGGTGCCAACCTAACCCGCGCTGTCCCACCGGTACTTGAGCCAGTGGTCAATGATAATGACTATACGTCTTCCAGCTGTTGCCTGTCACGGAGGCGGAACTTGGTAGTGTTGTTAGGAGCATAAAAGGTATGTAGGTCTGCTCCTGGTGCTGACAAAATTCCAACAAAAATTATCAAAGAGAACTTTATTGAACTGAAATAACCCCTTTTGCACGTTATCAACAAGAGTTTACTTCAAGGTAAATTACAAAACAAAATAGTAAAAGTAGGTAAAGTCTTGCCTATATACAAAGGAGGGGAAAACTCAATGTGTTAACTATAGACCAATTACTTTGGCTAGTGTCCTGGCTAAAGAAATTGAGAAGTGCGTTAGAATTCAGTTTGACAACTATTTCATGCATTCTAATATTCTCTTTGATGAACAATTCGGCTTCTGCAAAGACAAACGTTTGAATTACAATCTTTTCTCTCTAACTAACACTATACATGAATCAATTAGTGAAAATAAAAAAACCTCTAAGTATTATTTATTGACTTGGCCAAGGCGTTTGATACTGTTGATAGATCGTTGCTTCTGGACAAGCTAAAGTGTATAGGGGGTTACTGGAACTGCTTAATTGGTTTAAAAATTACCTTTCTAATCGTTCGCAGTTCCCAAATTGTCTTTTTAACCCTCACTCATTTTCCAAGCTCGGCTTCGCCTCGATCGTAAAACTTGACCTCGGGTCAAAAGGAGTCACTTTAGGCCCTAGTATTGAAATATACTAATTCGTCATACTTCAGCAAAAACAGCCGTTTTTAATGCATGCATTTCGGATCTAAAGTAGCATTTTCACTATCTAGGGTGTAAAAATCAGCTGTTGTAAACTCATAGTTGTAAATTTATATTGCAAAATTATATTACGTTACTAGTCCTGGAAATATGCGTTTACCGGACGAGTTTGGACGTTCCCGTGTGAGACGAAGTCGAGTGCGGGATTACTATAACGAGTCCGGTAAACACATTATGGACGCACGATATTTTACACCATACTACCCTAATCTAAAATAACAATAGCAAATCTTCACAAATCCTTACACCACCGACTAAAGGACTAACATTCACTACTCATAACCTCTAGGTTTATAACCACTCAATGCCAAATGGTGTCCGGCAAGAACTCATTACAGTACAGTACAGGTAGTAGGCCTACTGTTGTGCCAAAACGAAAAATAAATCAGCCCCGGGTCCAGGTCTTACCATGTGACGTACAGACATAGCATAATAGCTTATTCCCGATATGGGAAGTTCGATAATATTAGAATAGGTATTTATTTTGTTTGGATCAGAATAGTGTGGAATTTTAACATTAGGTGAGTTTGAAAGTTCTGCTTGTTTACATTTAAATGTCCATGGAAATGTAAACGTTGCGAGTTGTTGAAATGGAGACCAATATACTTCTATTTAGCCAAATTTTGAAAGTCTACCTCAGAACTTGATTGTTTTTTGTGCGGTAGCCCTAACATGGTGATGAATTGGTTTGAATTAAAACAAGTTATTATAAATAATGGGATTTCAATCGGACGAGACGGGACTATGTGAATTTATGTATCTAACGAATGAATCTAATATATGTTTAGTACTTAATTAATTTCATAATAAATGTAATTTTATTAGGTAGTTAAGACTTGCCAATGCAAAATATTTGTTAATCTGATTTTGACTTTATCGATCCAAGGATGATTGTATAATCCTACTTGAATTTAAAATACGTCCAGCTAATTGTGTTGTTTTTAGTTAGTCTTTTTCATTTTTAGCTCAATACATTAAAAGTTAAAGATGCCATACCCGCACTTTTGACGATAACTTTATTGCTAATGTAATCGCAAGACATTTCTCATCTTATGCAGCTATTATTAGATCAAATTCTTCTTGGACGTTGTCACACAGTCTGTCCTGGACAGTTTGTTGTTGGTGCCTGTGATTGAAGGTACTCCTCGCCAGCAGCGATGGCTATACGGAAGGCGAACGTCAAACACTTGTTGAGGGACTCTTCCTCGTCTCCCTGCATCTGCTTGTTCATCGCCAATCTCACTGTGTTGACGATCGCCCTCTGCATGCTCTCCATATGTTGGCGAGTCACTCCGAGTTTGGCGTGGTACAGTCCCAGCTTAGTCATCATGTCTAGCAGCTCGTCGTGCTTGTCTAGACTGTCCATCATTCCTTTCAGCTTAGTCATCACGCGTTGAGAAGAGAGCATCTTGAATTGAGTGCAGCTGAATAGGTCCCTGTTTTGTGACTTTATCATGTACGCGAATATTGACTCGTACTGAGGATACGTTTGAAATAACTCCTTAAACAGCGAGGTGCCAAAGTCTTGCATCGGCAGCACGTACTTGTTCCACGTAGCTCTCCCCAGCCTCAAGTCCCGTTCGGCCAAAATCGCTTGAGTGTCTTGTAATGGCTTAGACGAGTCGATAGACCCAGCCCTCATCAAACCTGTAAGTTTTGAGGTCCCAAGGTCGTTTGGCTTGTTTTTGTTGTTATCATTCCTCGCTTCTTTTTTGGTGTATTTTCTTGGGCTATAAGCCATTTATAAGCTGAATAACAATGTAAATATAACCATATAAAATTTAGAATTAAACATTTATCCAAATTGTCGTGGTGGTGGTTAGATTGTTAGTAAACCGAAGAAATCAGTAGGCTGCATGAAATCAGCTGTATTAGAAACGAAAGGAGGAAAAATTAACTGCAGAGTTTGAAATACAACAACACGCAATGCCTGAATAATTATTATTATAATTATTATATATGGATTCATAAAAAAAGGCGCACACACATCAAGTTCATTCATGCAATCGTGTACTTGAAAACTGTTGTGACTTTGAATTAGAGTTCATAATAAGCACACATTTGAAGAAACTCTTTTATTGAAAATTGTTATGATTAACTATAATAAAGTAAAATGTAAACATTGAAAAACAATTTTCATCTGTCTTGACCTTATTTGAATTATTAACTAAATCATATGAAGTCAAGATAGACTAAAGGATATGACAGTCTTCCCCACTAATTAAGAACAATCTTTTTCAATCAAATCTGGTAGTCTCTAAATCTTGAGGGCATGTGACGCTTACGCTGTGGTCTGGCGTTGGTATTATCAGCTTGCTCACGATGTGGTATGACATTCTCAGCTTGAGCTCTTTCTGCTGGAGATTGTTCTTCTGGTTGCCTTAATTCTGGAGCTGCAACTGGATCTGGATTCCTATGTATTTCTGGTCGTCTTGGAATTCTGGGAACATCAAACAACTGCGTTGGTCCGAATGTAACATTTTTCGTTTTTGGACTCTGTACCAGCGTTGGGCGTAGTTGATTGATGTGCCTCTTCAGGATTCTATCAGATGAGTCGAGAACTACGAGATAGTGTCTTTTCCCAAGCCTCTTCTTTACTTGACCAAACTGCCATATGTTTTTATTATTGATGAAAAGTTTGACCTGTACCCTCTCCCCCACATATAGTGAACGTGCAGGTGAAGACTGTGTAGTTGAAGGTTGAGGTTTGTACGGGAAAATGGCATTTAGTCTTATCCTTATTTTTCTGTGCAGGTAGAGTTCCGCCGGGGACTGACCACAAGCTAGCGGTGTTGCTCTGTACCTTTGTAAAATATTTTGAATTTTGGTTTGGATTGGAGTTTGGTCAGTTGAGACTGCTTTCAGGCGATTCTTTAGTGTTTGGATTGATCTCTCGGCTAAACCGTTTGTTGCCGGATGCCCTGGAGCGATGAATTTCTGGAAAATACCGTTTGTTTTGCAGTAATTTTGAAAAATATCACTTTTGAAAATGGTAGCATTATCTGAAACGAGTACTTGAGGATATCCATGACACGAGAAAATTCCTTCTAAAAGATTAATTGTGTTCGCACTAGTAGGTGAGTCTTTGATGATTTTCACCTCCGCCCATTTAGATTTTGCATCAACACACATGAGAAAATATGTATTATCAAGCGGTCCTGCATAGTCGATATGAACCCTTTCCCAATTCTCTTGTGGTGTATCCCAGGGATGTACTGGAACTTTGGGAGGGCTGTGACGTGTGAGAGCACATTTTTCACATCCTTTGACAATACGTTCTATTTCTTTGTCGATACTGGGCCAGTAGACGTAGCGGCGCGCCAGCTGTTTCATTTTTGTTATACCTAGGTGGGTATAATGAAGTTCATTTAAGATTGATGGTCGTAAGCTTCTTGGAATAATTACACGATCTTGGCGAAATAAAATCCCGTCAACCAATGTATATTCTGTTTCATCAGACTTGTTTTTTAGATCTTTTACAATTCTTGATAAGTCTGGATCCTTTTCTGTTTCACTCCTTATTGTTGAAGCGGTTATGTGTTCATCTGACATCTCGAAAATCATTTGTTCGTATACTTGGTTGACTTCATTGGCAATGATTTCATCAACAGTCGAATTTACTTGCTGAAGTGGAGCTCTTGAGAGGCAGTCAACATTTTCATTTTCCTTGCCAGGTTTGAATTTTAATGTGTAGTTGAACCCGGATAAGTAAGATGCATATCGGAGTAAACGTCCTGATGTCATTTGAGGGAGTGCTTTGTTGTGCTGGAAAATCCGTGAAATGGGTGCATTGTCAGTTACTAGTGTGAAGTGAGTTCCAAAAAGGTAATAGTAGAAATGTGACACGCCAAAAATAATAGCGAGGCTTTCACGGTCTAATTGACTGTAATTTCTTTCAGAAACTGTAAGAGAACGAGAAGCATATGCAATGGGCTTTTCTTCTCCTTCTGTGACATGACTAAGCACGGCTGCAAGTCCTGTAGGGCTGGCGTCTGTAGTTAGTACTAGAGGGAGAGCCGGATCGAAAGGTACGAGAACTCGATCACTGCAGAGCTCTGATTTGATTTGTAAAAATGCTGCTTCACAGGATGAATTCCATTCCCATTTCATATTTTTCTGTAACAGACGTCGCAGAGGATATGTGATAGTTGAAGCATCAGGGATGAAACGTGAGTAGTACGACACAAGTCCGAGTAGACGTTTGACCTCTTCAGTATTGGACGGGCGAGGCATCTGTTGGACTGCTTGAATTTTCGTTGGAGATTTACTAATTTTGTTGAACTCTACAACTCGTCCTAAATACTCAATTTTTTCTTGAAAAAATGAGCATTTGTTTCTGTTGACATGTAAATTGTAATCAGAGAGTCTCTGTAGACAGGCTTGTAAATTTTCACTGCATTCTTCAATGGTCGAACCATGCACAATAATGTCATCAAAATATGCTTCTGTCTTACGTAACCCCTTTAAGATCTGAGATAGTATGCGGTTGAATTCTGATGGTGCAGTTTTGATGCCAAAACTGAGTCTATGTACTCTATAAGTACCTCTGTGAGTCGTCATTGTCTGTATCATGCTAGATTCTTCATCCACCTGGAGATGTAAATAGGCTTTGTAGAGGTCAAGTTTGCAAAAGTCTTTTGAATTGCGCAAACTGTCAATAACATCATCAATACGCCTTATAGGATGATTTGCTTGAATTAGACGCTCGTTGACACCGCATTTGTAATCGACGCAGAGGCGGACACCACCGTCTGGTTTAGGAATGACAACCAGTGGCGATCCCCAATCGCTGGCCTCCACAGGTGAAATGATCCCTTCGTTTTCCAGTGTGTCCAATTCCTTGTTCACTCGGTCGGTTTAAGCATGTGGGACATTTCGTTCCTTAACAAAAATAGGTTTTGCACCATTTCGAAGCTGTAATGACACTTTGAAGTCTGGAACGCATCCAATTTTCTCTTCAAAAATGTTGGAAAAAGACTGAAAGATTTCTTCAGGAGACTGGATTCTTTTGATTTGGGAAATTTGAGTGCTTTGATTTGTGTCTTCATTCAATTTGTTCAGTTCGATTCCTAGGGCTCTTATCCATTGACGTCCCAAGAGTGCTTCGTGTCCTGTTGGAACAATGTGGAGTTCCTCTTTGACGCAACGTCCACAGTAAGTAACATTTATTTTCACTTTCCCTTCAGGTTTGATAATATTACCTGAGTAAGTTCTGAAAGCAATGTTAGTTGTTTCCAATGGAATGTCCAATTTGAGTTTGTCGAAATCATTTTTAGCTAGAAGTGAGAATTTTGCTCCTGTGTCTACTTCGAATTGTTGTGGTTTACCATTGAAATTAACTGTGATCATGTATTTGTCTGAATCGTTATTTACTTCAAACAGATCTAGTAACTTTGGGCTTGAATTGACATTAGTTACTTTATTTAGTCCGTAATCAGAAAATTTCGATGTAGACTCTGTAGGAGAACAGCACTGGATGTAGTTGGCTGCACTGGGAGAATTGATTTTCTTCTGTTCTGCGATAAGGGTCGAAATGCACACTTTAGATATGTGTCCTTGCTTGTTACATTTGTTGCACTTGAGCTTAGATTTGTCGGTGCGGCACTCGGATGCTTGGTGATTGCCTTTTCCACACCTGAAGCAAAGATTACCAATTCCAAGAGATTTCAGATCTGGACGTTTTCGAGAGCGTGAGGAGTGACCCTGTTGCTGTCTGGAAGGTTGATTACCGGTGTGGAATTGATATTTCCTTGCTTTATGTGAAACTTTATTCACATCGTCACATATATTGAAATTTGCGTTACTTGAATGTGAACGTTTAGACAGTTCCCTGGATTCAATTTTTGATGCTTCGAGGGCGATTGCTCTGGTAAGGATTCCTTCAAAAGTAGTTTCAGTTGACTGTAGAATTTGTTCTCGTAGCCAGTCATCTCGCAAACCTCGAATAAACTGGGCTCTCAGGAAAACTTCGGCAATTGAAACTGTCTGGTCACATGAACACTTGACAGAAAATTCACACTCAGCAATATCACGTTGTAGGGAAGCCACGAATTCTGTTATTGATTGGTGTTCTTTTTGAAATACATTTAGAAAATAGTGTTGAGATACTACAATGTTCTTCTTAGGAATCAATAACTGCTTGAATGCTGTGATAAGCTCATCATAGTTGAGACTTTTCAATTGTTTCTCGGGGCCTAGAAAAGAATTAAGATTGTTATAATGATCACTGCCGATAGAGATGCACAGTAGCTGTCCAATCTTAGTTGAGTCTGTTAGGCCTTTCATGGTGTAATAGTTTTCAAAACGTTCTAGGTAACATGTAAATTTTTCTTTCTTTGGATCATAGTTTTCAAAAGGAGCCACATTTGAGTAGTTGACCCGAGGTATCTCAGTCTGTTGATCATTCTGTTTTAAGACAGTTTCTAATACTTCTTTAATAAACTTGTTCTGGTTTTCTTGCTGTTGTCTTTGTTGTTCTTGAAAGATAGTAAGGAATTGATTGAACTGATCTGCATTCATTTTGAATACAAAATAATTTGAACACAAATTCTGAAAAATTTAGTAATCTTACATGTAATAATTCTGTTTTTCCTTCGTCGCCAAATAATTGTTGTGACTTTGAATTAGAGTTCATAATAAGCACACATTTGAAGAAACTCTTTTATTGAAAATTGTTATGATTAACTATAATAAAGTAAAATGTAAACATTGAAAAACAATTTTCATCTGTCTTGACCTTATTTGAATTATTAACTAAATCATATGAAGTCAAGATAGACTAAAGGATATGACAAAAACCAATGTCAGAAGTGTAAAATGTAGAATCCAGTTAACGAACGGATATCCGTGAAACTGATAAAGCGGTAATACATTATCTTTTACCTAACCCGCCATGTTAAACTTCCCTATCCCAAGCGTGATGTATACAACTTCCTTACTTCTCGAGTAATGTAAAGTTGAAAAAACTCACTCGGTGATGTAATGAAACCCATTTAATTAACATTGAGTCAGGCCCGTTTTTGACCAAGTCAGCGCCGTAGGCACAACTAATAGTTGCGCCCCTTTGCAAAATATAACAGGGTGTCAATACCAACCGGGAAAACTGGGAAATCCTTGATTTATCGTTAGTTTTTTTAAACCGGGAATTATGCATGACATTTGAATTTCTACCTGGAATTTTCAATTAACCACGATCGTGCATGACAACAGAGACGTATCCGTGAGCGCGGGAGACGATAATATTTCTGCACACGGCCGCGAAGGATGATCAGAATTTTCCGTCATCTCAGAAGACGATGATGATACAGAGTCACGAGGGATGATCAGAATATTGTCGCGATCACTGAAGACCATGGTAATGTCCACATGACCACGGGAAATAGCAAGAATTTGGCCGCGATCGCAGAAGACGATGATTATCTCCACACGACTGCGGGATATTATTAACATTTTGCCGCAATCACGGGAGGCGATAACGATGTTTACAAGAGACGATTATGATGGCTACAAGACTGCGGGAGATAAAATAATCATACGAGAGGGATCAGAATTTTGCCACGATCGTGCAAGACGATGATAATGTCCACATGACCGCGGGAAAAGACCAGAAAATTGCCATTCACGGATGACAATGATCTCCTCATGGCCGCGGGAGATGATTACCATTTTGCCGCAATCGCGGGAGGCGATTACTATGTCCAAACGACCACGGGGGACGATATAAACATGTCTTCATGACTTCACGGCCACATTAGGGGTGATCAGAATCTGCCTGCGATCACGCAAGACGATGATAATGTCCATACGATCACGGGAAAAGATCGTTTTTTGGCTCATTCGCGGTAGACGATGATAATCTCCTTACGACCGCGGAATATGTTCATATATTATTGTGGTGATATATGATCATGGAAGACGATAATTATGTCTACACGACCGCGGAAAAAAGTCAAAATTTTGCCACAACCACGGGAGATGATTGCGATGTCTACACGGCCGCAAGGGATTATCAGAAGTTTCGCATGCAAATACAACCACAATTTTTTTTATTTACCAATTTTTTGGCGCCCCCCAAAAAAGCCAATTGCCTCGCGCCCTAGGCACGTGCCTACCGTGCCTATTCGGTAAATCAGCCCTGCATTTAGTGCTTAACTTAAAAAAATATACCTCTATGGATCCAACGACGTTCAGCGCTAGAAATCAGCTGTGCTCTTGAATTTTATTGTTATGTTTTGAAGAATTTTCCTAACCTAGCTTTTGTTTGTACATGAACGTTACTGTTAGAAGATGAGTGAAATGGATAGTGAAAAATATTGTTCGTAACCTCCTGTATATTGTCGGGTCAGGTAAAATCTTGTACGTTACAAGTTACGCAAGAGCGTGTTTACATCACATAGGTAAATTATGCAACTCGCTTCTGCTCGTTGCACAACATTCACCTGCGTGATGTAAAAACGCTCTTACTACACTTGTAAGGTAAATAGCTATTAACTTACTAGACAATCAGAATCAGTGTAAAACACTCCCATGAGTATTTATCAGCTGAGTGAAATAGCTGAAATAAATTTGCCTACTATGGTAGAGGGAGATGTCAGCGAAGTAGAAACGTAGTTTACACTGCCTCGTAGACGCTGACGTAAGTCAATTCGCTCCGATTCACTTTAGGGGAATACCTGAGCCTGTAAAAGACACCACCCCCCACAGAGCCTAAATCAATCTAATCCCTAATCCTTTTGCATGGGCTTATCGCTTATTCCCAAGTCATTATTATCAATGAGTTATTTTTTACATAGCTAATTTAACAGTTTTGAACAGTTGTATAATAGTATTGACTGAAGAGTATAACAAATTGTAATATGATAGTAGGAAAAAAAAACACATAGGTATCTACAACAGTTTATCAAATATAAAATCTAAATCTACAACAATAATTGACTTTTTTAGCAAATTGTTTCATAGGGAAGTAGCTATTGCCGTAGGTGGCACAGTAAGACCAGGGCCCGGGACCAATTTACTTTTTCGTTTTGATGTCCCCAGAGGCCAAAAAAAGATTTGTTCAAATCCGGTTCAAGTCCGATTTTGATTAAATTTGGCTTGAAGATGTAAGGCGGGATAAACTTGAATGAGTTCGCGGACCAGCAAGATTGAGTTATGATGGTACTTTAGGGTTTTGAAATTTTCTAAAATTGTGATGCGTTGTCGTACAATTAAAGCAGTGGCGTAGCCAGAGGGGGGGAGATCCGGGGGTCTGGGCCCCCTTCCGAAATTTAAGAAATAAATGTTATTATTTGTGTAAAAAATTATGAGAAACACAAACATGCGTTATACTGCTTGTAATTGCAATACCAACGATAAACTCAGCTGCTTTTGGTATAGTCTGGTGTCCACATAATACCTTTCAACGAGTATACTAGATGTTTCCCAAATTCCCATTGTTTCTTAATTAGTAATGACGTACACCGGACTAGAAACTAGAAATAGAAATACTGTAGAAGGCACATGTTATCGGTCGTGCGAGAGAGCCATAGATACATAATAACAACACGGGGAGAGAGCTCGGTTAGGTTCGGCTGGTTCGGCCCGGTTCGGCCTACTCGGCGTCGGAGGAGCACGGGACATTTCTGTCAAAGCCGTTACACGTCGTGCGAGTTGACCTTGGGCCTCCTTTACTACGACCATAGATAAAAGGAGTATACTCCTTTGATCTATGCTACGACCATCGAAGTATATAACGACTACGACGGTCGACGACACACACACACACACAAACACCACAATACACTAGCACTAGACATAAAAATAATAATTATTATATAAAAACAGAAAACTCCTTTTTAAAAGGGCTACTTTAATACGTTACCTACGGAAAATAAATAAAATAAACGTCTTATAACACTTAAAACATATACAGGGTGGCTGAAAAGTAACTTGCACCCCCACTTGACTTTTCAACCGTTTGAGATATTTGAAATCGGTTTGCGGCAACCTTCTTAGATATGAGAGGCTACAATAATTATGGTCAGTTTTGAAAATTTTGCCCTTAGGGGTAGTGGGGGTAGGGGGTAGCTCAAAATTTTCAAACGACAACCATAGTCGAGTTTGGTATCATTTTACAGGTCTTGACGAAACATAAACATTGACATAAAGAAAACCAAAATCGGCTCACTAATAACGAAATGGTGCCCTAAAACGTTTCAAATCCAAATAACCATGAGGGTGGCAAAAAAATTAACTTGCACCCTCTTTAACTTTTTAACTATTTGAGATATTTAAAATCGCTTTGCGGCAACTTGTTTGGAAATGAAGGGCAACTATCCTTCTACAGACCTCTGTGTATGTTGGATACGGCTGGCAAAGTCCTCGAGAAGATGATCCGTTCCCGGCTGAATTCAGCCGTGGTCGCTGCGGGGGACCTGTCCCTCGACAGTATGGATTCAGGATGGGGCGATCTACTGTTGACGCTGTTGAGGAGGTGAAGCAAGCCGTGATGAGAGCTGAGGATTTTAACCACTACTCTCGTAGAGTTGTGCTGCTCGTAACATTCGATGTGCGAAACGCATTTAATTCTGCGAGGTGGTGCGATATGCTGGAAGCTCTGGAGAACACCTTCCACGTTCTGGCATACCTCATACGTATCATAGAGGATTATCTCCGGTTTCGCTTCCTCATGTATGACACTACAGAAGGCCCACGGACGATGAGTGTCACTTCCGGTGCTGCCCAAGGTTCCATATTCGGCCCAGACCTCTGGAATGTCGCGTATGACAGCCTTCTGAGGTCTGAAATGCCTGAGGAAATTGTTTTGGTTGGGTACGCAGACGACGTTGCAGTTTTGATAGCTGCACGTATTAGTCAAGTAAATATAGGCACTTGAGATAGAACAAATTCCAACACATGGTTTTTCGACAGTTTTTGGTAGTAATAGGTGTAGAAAGTACCAGGAAAAAAGTCTACCAAAATCGGACAACCGGAAGTCGGGTTTTTCCAAGATGGCCGCCGTGAGGCCCTCAAATCGACAAGATGACTGCAAATTCGTCGATTCATAGTTCCAGGATTGGCCTATTTCTACGAAAATTGGCAAACACATGTAGAACTTTATTTCCAACCTGAAATATGAATACTAGGCTGACAAAGTAACCCAAAGATGAATTTTCAGGGTATTATGTGCTAAAAAAATAAGGTTTTTACCTCAAATATATGTTTTTCTAATATTTTGTACAAAGTTTGTTATAATTTCAAATTTATTTTTTCACCATTAGATTCAACACAAAAAACCTAACAATTTAGTATATTGAATCTTTGTTCTGCTTCAATTTGTTACAGAGATATTTAAAGTAATAACTTTAGTATGTTTTCTTGCCAAGATAGCTCAAAATTAATCTTATGGAGAATAAGCATAAATATTAATATTATTTTTCATTAAAACTATATAGATAAGACTTTTTGTTCTGCTTCATATTATCTGTTTTAATACTTTTTTTTACTAAAAATTCCTTTTTTGGCAGTTACCATTGCAGCAAACCTACGTATTCGGTTCCTCAGTTTTAATCATAAAGAGAATAAACAAAAATCAATTTTTTTATTAGTCCTAGAAGTATAGAATATTATCTAAAAAAATTGCAAGAAAACGTTTTATGGTTTTATGTTGTAGTGTTGGGTATGTAGAGTAACATAGTAAAAATTGCCAAAAATCGGTCTACTGGAAAACCCCTAGAATCAAGATTTAATATGACGGATTTTCTCAACATTGGAAAAATTAAAAAAAATCCACATGCATTTTCATTGATATTGACTTCAGACCACCACCGATATTTATTGGGTGGTCATTTCTTCATTTCGATAGGAAACGTGTTTTCGGCCGTCATTTTGGATCCCCCTATTGGATATAGCCTAAATGTAATTTAAATGTAATTGTAAAAAATATTAAAGACAGACAAGACTTTTAGACTTGACAAAAAATAGATGTTTTTTTATTTATTGGACATTATTTACAAAGTAATAATAATAATAAAACATGTGTTAGTTCAATTAAAATAAAGAAGGCAGGCATAAATTAAACATATTAAAGAACACAAATCAATGAGTCAATATGAAACATATTACATCTTTTCCCCTCCAACGGTAAGGACTGCAACTTTAGCCAGAGGCCGGCGATAAGTTCCTTTTGATGTTGTTATGTCTACTATTCGTACTTGGCCATCATGACCTGGGTAGACAGCCGAGATTCGGCCAAGGGGCCAAGTATTTCTTGGACAGTTTTCCTCAATTATTATTGCAAGATCGTCAATCTTTGGTGGGTCCAATTTCTTGTGCCATTTGCACCGTCTTGAAAGGCATGGAAGGTACTCATGCACCCATCTCTTCCAGAAGCTGTCTAGGAGTGATCTAACACGAGCTAATTGTCGTTTACACAGTTGGTCTTCGTTTAGGTTGATTTTGTAAGCTTCTCTTAGAAAATGGTTTGGTGTGATTGGTTCGGGGTCATTGGGATCCAGAGAAACATGTGTGAGTGGGCGAGAATTTATTACGCGAACCATGAATGTCTGAAGCTCTTCGTCTTTTGGGTACTGGCAGCGCATAACACTCCTTAATGCGGTCTTTACAGACCTAACAAGTCTTTCCCAGCAGCCTCCCATATGTGGTGCTCGCGGGCAAATGAAATTCCACTTTATCCCGTAGTTCACCACGTCTTTTTGGATCTTTTCATGTTTGAGTGACTTTACAGCGTTTCTAAGTTCCCTATCTGCAGCTACAAAGTTTGTGCCATTGTCGGAATATAGTTCTGAGGGAACTGGTCTTCGGCTGATGAATCGTTGAATCGACATTATACAACTCTCTGTGTTAAGAGAATGAGCCGTTTCGATGTGAATTTCTCGAGTCGATAAACAGGTAAATAGGACACCATATCTTTTTTCATGTCTGCGGCCAACAGTAACTTCGATAGGTCCGAAATAATCCACTCCAGTGTAGAAGAATGGATGTTGCACTTTTGAGGTCCTTAACTGTGGTAGTGCAGCCATCTGAGGAGGATAAGGTTTGGCATTGTCTATGCTACACCTCATGCAGCTCCTTTGAACTTTCTTGGCGACTGATCGTACGTTTAAGATCCAGAACTGTTGTCTAGTCATATTGATAACAGTCTCGATGCCCTGATGGAAACATTTCTCGTGAAACATTTTTACGATTAGTTTAGCCGTATGACTTTTGCCGTCTAAAATGATAGGATGCTTTTGTTCTTCGCTTATTTCTGGTGAACTATGTATTCTACTCAACATTCTTATTAGAGACTGATCAATGAAGGGATTTAAAGAGAATATTCTACTGGACTTTGGTAGCGGTTTGTTCTTCAGCAGTAAATTTTTTTCTTCATTGAAGCTTGCCTTTTGAGACATTGATATCAAGTTCTGTTCAGCTTTTTGAATTTCCTCTGGTTGAAGTTCTGGTATATTTCCAAAATCTACGTTGACCGTTTTCAGTTTCTTTTTCGTGGTGGCGGTAGTATGGGACCTTAGCATGCTAATAAATCTGTGTACCCATGCTAATACACGTGTCACTTTTTCCCAAGAAGAAAAGTTTTCAACTGTCAAAAGAGGAGGGTTTTCATTACTGTTTACAACTCCGACGAATTTCTTCTTTGTTTCTTCGTTATCCTTGACTTGTAGTGTGGACGGTTGTATTGGCCAGTCACTCGATTCTCGCATTAGAAATTATGGTCCGTGAATCCATTCAGAATGCATGGCTGATGTAAACTTTTTGTTACTTCTAGTTGCAGCATCTGCCGGATTCTGTTTTGATGGAACCCATCTCCATTCTTCAGGTTTAGACAAATCTTGAATTTCTCCAATTCTATTGGAAACATACTGTTTGAATTGTCTAGGGTCGGATTTCAGCCAGTGCAAAACTGTTACAGAATCTGACCAAAATATCTGACGAGAAATAGTTAAGTCAATGTCTTTTATGATGCTACAAGCTATTCTGCATCCAAGAACAGCTGCTTGGAGTTCTAGTCGGGGAATGGTTGTTTGTTTGAGTGGTGCTACTTTGGCACGTGCCATAACAAGCATGGTCTTGTAAGTACCTCTGGCACATCCATGGCGTAGATATGAAACTGCTGCATAGGCCTCTTCACTAGCATCAACAAACGTATGGAGTTCAACTTCTTCAATTGTTTTGACGTTAAAATAGCATCGAGGTATGGTGAAGCTCTGCAGACATTTTACTTCTTGTAGCCAGTCTTGCCATTTTTTACTAAGTTCTATCGAAAGAACTTCGTCCCACGTTATGTTTGTTCGCCAAATGTCCTGAACAAGCATTCTCCCTTTTATAGTAGTAGGTACAACTAATCCCAATGGATCAAAAATGGACATAGCTCCTCTTAAAACTTCTCGTTTGGTCGGATACCTTGTTTCAACTAACTGTACCTTTTCGGCGTTCCGGTGAAATGAAAAGTGGTCAGTTTCAGCATCCCACCACATTCCGAGGATACGTTCTGTAGGTAGACGACTTTCAGGTTGCAGTTGTTTTGTAGAGTTTGTCTTCAAATCTTCCGGTATTTCAAGTAAAATTTCTTTTGAATTTGACAACCAGTTACAGATTTTAAAACCTCCGGACTTGTGAATTTCTGTTATCTGTTGTATTCGAATTCTAGCTTCTTCTTCTGTATCAGTAGAGTCTAGTAGATCGTCCATGTATTCACTGCAGAGGATCGCTTTACTTGCTTCTGGGTAAATTTGTAGAAACCTCTTGGCGTTGCTGTTTACTACATACAAGGCAGTACTCGGGGAACACGTTGATCCAAATATCATTGCTTCCATGATATAGGTATCTGGTTTGTTGTTCGGATCTTCTCTCCATAGAAACCTTTGCGAATCGACATCTTCTTTTCTGATACGTACTTGATGAAACATTTCTTGTATGTCACCTGCGATCGCAAATTTTCTTAATCTGAATTTGAGAAGTACTGCTGGCAGAGGGTTCAAAAGGTCAGGACCACTAAGCAAACCATCATTGAATGACACACCATTCGCTTTAGCAGCTGCGTCAAATACTAACCTTAGTTTGTCAGGTTTGTTTGGATTTATTACCCCAAAATGAGGCAGATAATAAGTCCGGTCATTTATAACATTAGCTTCGTCATCACGTAGTTTTCTGATGTAACCTTTTTCTTCATAGTCAGTGATCTTGGCTTTGTATTTGTTATGAAAGTTTTCGTCTCTTGCCATCTTCCTTTCAATACCCTTAAGCCTTTTCAGCGCATTTTCATAGCTCGGTGGACATTTAAAGTCTTCTGACTTCCATAGTAGGCCGGATTCATACCTATCCCCTACTTTTTTGGTAGTATCTTCTAAAATCTTGAGGGCTTTTTCGTCTTCAACTGATTTCACATTGTCATCTTCTACTAGGGACACGCCATAATTCTCGATTTCAAAAGAATCTTTGATAATATCATGAAGTTTTTCACTTTCAAAAGACGTTAAAGTGAATTGACTATCTACTCGCCCAATGTGTTCATGACATTTACCGTGCAATGTCCAGCCTAAACGGCTCCAAGACAAGACTGGAGAGTTGGGAGGACCTTCAATTATTTTCCTTGCTAGAATAAGGTCACAGTTGTCTTGACCTATAAGTATTGTAGGTTTCAAATTTGCTGACGGTAAAGGTTGACCAATTGACCGTAAGTGAGACCACTTCTTTTTCAGTTTGACAGTATCCACCATTTGTTTTGGTAAGTCCAATGGTGACTGGGTTCGTACATTGTTTAATGTAAATACTTCGTCCTCATATAACCCTTTAATTTTAACTTTCACAGTCATGGATGTTGGGTCGAAATGTTGGGTTGCATTGGACCAGCAAGTCGTGAGGGGTTCAATACTACCGTTGACGCCTAATTTATCGGCTGTAGCTGAATCCAACAAGGATACTGTTGACCCGTCATCTAAGAGTGCGTAAGTGTCGATCTGACAACTTGGGCCATATAATGTCACTGGACATACTCTTAGTAGAACACGGTTATTAACAACATGACTGCTAATAATTTCTTTATTTTGTGGTTCGCTGTCCTGTTTGGGAAACCTCTCAATTTTGTCAGTATGGAGAAGACGATGGTGAAACAACCTGCACCCATTTATCCCACAAACCTTTTTTACTTTACATTTTTGGAGCTGGTGATGTCGAAAGCAGAAGAAACATAGTTTCTTTTCGACAATCATTTTCCATCTCTGCGATACATCTGCCTTCCTGAAAACTCCACATCGTTCACTTTCGTGGCTGTCGAGACAAAACATACAGTTAAACTGTTTGTCTTCGGTAGAACTGGTATAAACCGGCTTTATGTCAGTTTTCTTCTGCCAGAGTTTCTCTTCTGTAGGACGAAAGTAAATACTCAGGATTGAGCATTGTTTTTCCAACCAAGTGGAAAACTCCTTCAAGTCGGGACTGCTTAGAGCATTATTACTTACATGTTCAGCCCACCTGTATTTTAAACTATAGGGAAGTTTGTTGAGACATTCATTTAGTAAGTAAGGATTTAATACATAATTTTCTAGATGTAATGACTCTGCTGTAGCAGTAAAATTCAAAATATTTGTCGAAAACTCAACAAGACTTGTAGTGTCGTCTTCCTTGACAGAAGGTAGCCTACGAGTCTTTTTTAACATTGACTCTAAAATGAGTTCTGGTCTACCAAAACGCATCTGTAAGGTCTTGATAATTGACTTAAGATTTTGACTTGAGACAAAAAGAGGCTTAACCATTCTAAATGCTTCTCCCTCTAGGCAATTCCTTACTCTTATGAGGTTGTCATCCTCACTAAAAAGATAGGCAGGTTTTTCATACGCCGAAAAAAATATCGGCCATTCATCAGGCTTGCCACTGAAACTTGGAAGTTTTTGACGAAATGAAACAGGCTGTATAGCTTTTTGGAAGGTATCCGCAAGCTTTTGCACGGCTGAGGTCATGATGGCTGATGAGGACTTAAGAACTGTCGGTTCTTTTTCATTCAACCACCTTTCAACCTTGCTTTGCGGTTCTTCCTCATCATCAAGATTTATGCTAAGTCCTACCTTGGTTTCAGATCGATTACTAGGGCGGCTTGACTGTTGACTGCCACACACTGAAGCAGACTCAAGCTCAGCTCTCGCTGTCAGCAGTTGCTTCTGTCGTTCTAGTTCTCTAGCTTCCATTCGTCGTTGTCGCTCCATTTCTTCAACTTGTCGTTGTCGCTCCATTTCTCTTTCCTCATGGGCTCTTTCCAATCTCTGTATTTCTTCCAGCTTCTTCAACTCCACTTCCATTAATCGTCGTCTACTAGAAGAAGTACTAGATTTGGCAGATACTGATGGTTGGTCATTACTTGGCTTTGGATTAACAGTTTTGTCGTTGTTATTCCCAATTGCTGGAGTATATCTGTCTGGAGGGTGTCTTTCCCTCTCTGATCTCCTTATTGACATGATAAAGTCGGGTTTCGGCACCAAATGTAAAAAATATTAAAGACAGACAAGACTTTTAGACTTGACAAAAATAGATGTGTATTTATTTATTAGACATTATTTACTAAGTAATAATAATAATAAAACATGTGTTAGTTCAATTAAAATAAAGAAGGCAGGCATAAATTAAACATATTAAAGAACACAAATCAATGAGTCAATATGAAACATATTACAGTAATGACAGTGTCATTTCAATAGGGAACGTGTTTTTGGCCGTCATATAGGCAGGGCTGATTTACCGAATAGGCACGGTAGGCACGTGCCTAGGGCGCGAGGCAATTGGCTTTTTTGGGGGGCGCCAAAAAATTGGTAAATAAAAAAAATTGTGGTTGTATTTGCATGCGAAACTTCTGATAATCCCTTGCGGCCGTGTAGACATCGCAATCATCTCCCGTGGTTGTGGCAAAATTTTGACTTTTTTCCGCGGTCGTGTAGACATAATTATCGTCTTCCATGATCATATATCACCACAATAATATATGAACATATTCCGCGGTCGTAAGGAGATTATCATCGTCTACCGCGAATGAGCCAAAAAACGATCTTTTCCCGTGATCGTATGGACATTATCATCGTCTTGCGTGATCGCAGGCAGATTCTGATCACCCCTAATGTGGCCGTGAAGTCATGAAGACATGTTTATATCGTCCCCCGTGGTCGTTTGGACATAGTAATCGCCTCCCGCGATTGCGGCAAAATGGTAATCATCTCCCGCGGCCATGAGGAGATCATTGTCATCCGTGAATGGCAATTTTCTGGTCTTTTCCCGCGGTCATGTGGACATTATCATCGTCTTGCACGATCGTGGCAAAATTCTGATCCCTCTCGTATGATTATTTTATCTCCCGCAGTCTTGTAGCCATCATAATCGTCTCTTGTAAACATCGTTATCGCCTCCCGTGATTGCGGCAAAATGTTAATAATATCCCGCAGTCGTGTGGAGATAATCATCGTCTTCTGCGATCGCGGCCAAATTCTTGCTATTTCCCGTGGTCATGTGGACATTACCATGGTCTTCAGTGATCGCGACAATATTCTGATCATCCCTCGTGACTCTGTATCATCATCGTCTTCTGAGATGACGGAAAATTCTGATCATCCTTCGCGGCCGTGTGCAGAAATATTATCGTCTCCCGCGCTCACGGATACGTCTCTGTTGTCATGCACGATCGTGGTTAATTGAAAATTCCAGGTAGAAATTCAAATGTCATGCATAATTCCCGGTTTAAAAAAACTAACGATAAATCAAGGATTTCCCAGTTTTCCCGGTTGGTATTGACACCCTGTTATATTTTGCAAAGGGGCGCAACTATTAGTTGTGCCTACGGCGCTGACTTGGTCAAAAACGGGCCTGCATATAGGATCGGCATATTGGATATAAATATTTTTTTTAATGTAATGGCAATGTTGTGACACATTATTTTAAACTAGATTTTCACGCCCATTGCCAAAATGAGTTTTTAAATATTTTTTTTTCGTTTTAAAGATATATTCAAACGAAAATTCTCCTGCATACATTTCTTAAGGACGTTTCGTATTTTGAACATTTTTTAAGATTATTTTTTCTTATATCTCCAGTACATATTAACGCTTGCAGTTCGTTCTAGCCTTAAACATTTAGTGACGATTATTTTCCTTATCTTCAGTTAGTAGTTCATTCTTAAATAATTAATGATGTAAGGGCTTTCATTTGAGCTATTGATCATTAAAATATGACGAGTTCGAGACTAGTTACCAACCCCAACAAAATATTAAATTTCACTTTTTAGAAATTCATTTTTATTAAAATATTTATATCTCGGGTTCTTAATACGCCATCAAGTTCTTTCTGGTTTCATATTACTCAGTAAATGTTTGGGTTATTTTTTTTTAATCACTAAATAAAATGTGTCAAATTTAATATGGGTCTGTCTTATTTAACAATATTTTTTTTCGAGATTTGTCTTTAGTTTAAGACATATACCCCCAAATTGAAAAATAACTCCTAATACTCTTTATAATCTTAAAAGATTCATCAAAGTATTGACTTTTACTGTAGTTATGGATTATTTATAGGGAGTTATTAGAATTGGGGATATATGTACTTAACTAAAGACAAATTTCAAATGCAAATAAGAAGAACATTAATATTAAATTAAGGTGCATGACTCATTTTTTATTAATTAGTCAGATATTATTTAGTGACTAATAAAATAAAAAACTTAATTCTCTACTGAGTAATATGAAACCAGAAAGAACTTAAGAATTAAGAACCCGAGATATAAATCATTTAATAAAAACTGATTTATAACAAGTTAAATTTAATATTTTGTTGGGATTGGTAGCTCGTTTCTAACTCGTCCAATTTTAATGATCAATAGCTCAAATGAAAGCCCTTACATCATTAATTATTTAAGAATGAACTACTAACTGAAGATAAGTAAAATAATCGTAAACAAATTTCAAAGTACAAAACGTTTAAAACAAAAAAATGTATTTAGAAACGGATTTCGGCAATAGAATATGCGTGAAAATCTAGTTTATATAGTAATAATGTGTGACAACACTGTCGTTACAACAACAAAAAATTATATCCAATAAGGTGGATCCAAAATAGCGGCCAAAATACGTTTCCCATCGAAATGAAGTACTGACCACCCAATAAATATCGATGTTGGTCCCAAGTCAATATTTAGAAAATTGTGCATAGAAAATGCTTATGGTATCTTTTTTTTCAAAATTTGTCCAATATTAGGAAAATCCGACTCTGCATACCCAAAACTACAACATAAAACCATAAAACGTTTTCTTGTATTGTTTTTAAGGTTATATTCTATACTTCTCGGACTAATAAGAAATTGATTTTTGCTTATTCTCTTTATGATTAAAACTGAGGAACCGAATACGTAGGTTTTCTGCAATGGTAACTGCCAAAAAAGGAATTTTTAGTAAAAAAATATTAAAACAGATAATATGAAGCAGAACAAAAAGTCTTATCTATATAGGTTTAATTAAAAATAATATTAATATTTATGCTTATTCTCCATAAGATTAACATTGAGCTATCTCGGCAACAAAACATACTAAAGTTATTACTTTAAATATCTCTGTAACAAATTGAAGCAGAACAAAGATTCAATATACTAAATTGTTGGGTTTTTTGTGTTGAATCTAATGGTGAAAAAGTAAATTTGAAATTATAACAAACTTTGTACAAAATATTAGAAAAACATATATTTGAGGTAAAAAAAACCTTATTTTTTTAGCACATAATACCCTGAAAATTCATCTTTGGGTTACTTTGTCTGCCTAGTATTCACATTTAAGGTTGGAAATATAGTTCTACATGTGTTTGCCAATTTTCGTGAAAAAGGCCAATCCTGGAACTATGAATCGACGAATTTGCAGTAATCTTGTCGATTTGAGGGCCTCACGGCGGCCATTTTGGAAAACCCCGACTTCCGGTTGTCCGATTTTGGTAGACTTTTTTCCTGGTACTTTCTACACCTATTACTACCAAAAACCGTCGAAAACCATTTGTTGGAATTTGTTCTATCTTAGAGGCTTTTTTGGGCTAAATCGACTCGTCTATATCGTTGAGCTGGCTCAGCTAAAGCTGAGCCGAGTTATGCGTACCATAAACGCATGGATGGCAGACCACGGTCTCTCGCTCGCTTTGAGCAAAACTGAGATCGTTATATTAACAACAAAAAAACCGATTGACACCATCGTGCCGTTGAGGGTAGGGGCCGTCGAAGTCCTAGCGTAGCGAACGAGCTAACCTGAAGGCAAGTGAGCGCAGCGAACGAGCTCCAACCTAAAGGTGAGTGAGCGTAGCGAACGAACTTCAACCAGGACGTGTTTGAGCCATGCAAACGAGCTCACTTATGAAGTAAAACGGGGCAAAACCCGCGGGTACAGCTGAGTGAGCATAGCGAACAAACTTCAACCTGGAGGCGAGTTAGCGTTAGCGAACGAACTTCAACCAGGACGTGATTGAGCCATGCGAACGACCTCACTTATGAAGTAAAACGGGGCAAAGCCCGCGGGTACAGCTAGTAGGGAATAAATGTGATATTTTTAAGGAGACATTTTAGTGTAAATCCAATCAGGCACATGGAAATTCGCTAAGTCTGCAGGTTTGCTGTGGCAGGGTATTTTTTCATTTAATTTCATTTACATATTTTTGGTAGAGTTTTCTACCACTGGACGTCCTCTAGTTTAATTTCTGGGATCTAGAAGTTCTGGGATGAGGAAGTTTCGTAACATAAACAGATAGCGTTCCGAATCCACCGTGACTGTTTGGCAACCCTCTTCAAAGAAATATCACCAAGACAAGAAAGACCAAAATTTAAATTTGATCACACAAGTTTTTGTGACACCACACCACACAGTGACCTTGGGACTGTGTAGAGGACTTTCATGTATTTGTTCGGGATTTGCAAATGACCAATAGCGATAGTTCTGTTTGTTTACGAAGCCGTCCAGATGAAAATGCGCCTCGTCACTAAACATAATGTTTTCATCCACATTTAAATCAATCATTTGTGCAGCAAATGTTTGTCGCTTGGCATGGTCCGTGGGCTTTAATTGCTGAACAATAGCCAATTTGTATGGATGAAAATTAAGTTCAAACCTCAAAACTCGTCTAACTGAGTGGTCAGACATGTTCAAAGCAGCTGATTGTTTGCGGGCGGGCCTTTGAGGACTGTTTTCCACAGCAGCACGAATTCTGTCGATGTTGTCAGGTGTCCGAACTGACCTGGGACGGCCTGTCAGCTTCTTTTTCAACGCAGAACCCGTTGTTAGTCCAGGCGCTAAACGGGTTGAGTATGCACTGAAAGTCTGACAAAATTTGACTTTTGATTATTGTTGGGGACATCTAGTAGATGAAAAAAATCGATGATGTCGCATTTCTAGGGTGGTCACAACTCGGGGGGGGGAGGGGGGGAAGTTGCGCGGGTCATCGGTTTATGTTT